GCACTGCACTGCTCTGTGCTGCACTGCACGGTGTGATACAGCACTGCACGGTGTGATACAGCACTGCACTGCACTGCTCTGTGCTGCACTGCACGGTGTGATACAGCACTGCGCGGTGTGATACAGCACTGCACTGCTCTGTGCTGCACTGCACGGTGTGATACAGCACTGCGCAGTGTGATACAGCACTGCACGGTGTGATACAGCGCTGCACTACACCGCTCCGTGCTGCACTGCACGGTGTGATACAGCACTGTACGGTGTGATACAGCACTTCACAGTGTGATACAGCACTGCATGGTGTGATACAGCACTGCACGGCTCCGTGCTGCACTGCACGGTGTGATACAGCACTGCACTGCTCTGTGCTGCACTGCACGGTGTGATACAGCACTGCATGGTGTGATACAGCACTGCACAGTGTGATACAGCACTGCACGGTGTGATACAGCACTGCACAGTGTGATACAGCACTGCATGGTGTGATACAGCACTGCACTGCTCTGTGCTGCACTGCACCATCCTGTGCTGCGCCGTGCAGCACCACAGCGTCATAGAGCATCACACCATGCTGCACTGCACTGCTCCGTGCCGCACTGCACAGCACTGCACCCTGCTGCACAGCACGGTGCTGTGATACAGCCCCACGCTCCCCTGCACCGCACCCCTGCACAGCACCGCACTGTGTGATACAGCATCACACCGTGCTGCACTGCTCTGTGCTGCACTGCACAGCACCACAGCGCACGGCACAGCACCGTGCTGCACTGCATGGCACTGCATTGTGCCGTGCTGCACCCCAGGACACCAGGCTGCACCGTACGGCGCTGCAGTGAGCTGCACCCTGCAGCACCGAACGGCACGGCACTGCACCACACCACTGCACGGCGCTGCACAGCTCCCGAATCCACACCCTGCAGGTGGATTTAACGCACCCCCAGATTCCTCGCGAGGGGCTCCCCGTGATCTGGCGGCCAAAGGCTGGGGGGTCCCAGGCAGCTGAAACTCCCCGGGTGTCCCCGGGCCCCCCAGCAAAGCCTGGCACTAGGGATTAACCTGATTATCCCCTTGCCCCTATAATCCTGGGTCAGGCCGGGCCCAGCCCAGGGGAGCGCAGAGGGCACCTCTCCAGCCACGAGAGCCCAGAGATGCAGGGTCAGGGTGGCCGTTCCTGCAGGGACACCCCTGGGGGTCCCACGGCAGGACGAGGGGCAGGAGACCCCCAGGTTAGTGCCCTAGGCGGGGGAGCTGGCAGCTGTAAGCAGCCTGGCAGGAGGCTGAAGCCCCCATCCCCTCCCTCCAGCTCTCCGTGAGGAAAAAAGAGGGGTAAGAAAATCCCAGGGACGTGGCACAAGTGGCTGTGAAATGCTCCGGACGCGCTGAGGCAGGGAGGGTGGTTCTACAGCCTGGCAAACCCCAAGGGGCACCCCTCCTTCCCCAGGAAGGGAGAACCTTGCCCCTAAGCCTGACCCTGACCCTAGGCCTGACCCGGTCCCTAAGCCTGACCCAGCGCAGTGCAGTACAGAGCCTGCTCCCTGCAGGGCTGGGGCAGAGGGACAGCCGGGGCTGCTGAGCTGGCACGGCTGCAGCTGGCACAGACTGGGGCACCCGGTGTCCCCTGAAGCCCCTCTGGTTTCTCACAGATCCCCCCAAGCCAGCCCCGCGTAGCTGGATGTCTGTCTGGCCCAGCAGACCGCAGGCAAATTCTATTTAGTTCGGGAGCTCGCAGGCTTTGAGCTGAGGCACGTTCCCCGAGCACACGGAGGTGAGTCAGGAGCAGGAGGCCAGATGATGAGGGAGAGGAGGAGACGCTGCCCTGAGCCTGCAGACGGCTCCTGGTGTCTCTGTCCCCCATCCCAGGGAAGGCACCAGCCCTGCAAACCCAGCTCCAAGGCCTGGAGGGTGGCCACTGCGAGCGGGCAGGTAGGGAACACAGAGCCTCCTGCTTCTCCCCTGCCTCCGGAGAGGAGGAGGGATCCTGTGGAGCTCACGCCCCGGGAATGGGACAGCAAAGCAACGTTAATTTAAACTGCAGCAGCTACGCTCGCCGGGGACCTTGCGGGGGGCACGCGGCACCCTCGAAGCTACGTGTTGCACGCTGGTCCCAGCTCCCCCCCGAGCTTTTCTGCCTCCTTTGCGGTGAACCCGAAGAGAAACTGCCCCAGCCCTGAGAGCGCGGCGCTGGGATATTTATAGAGGGTTTGTGTGAGCTACCGCAACCGCCCCCACGGGCCACCGTCACTTGTGCTGGATAGGCGACAGCGCTGCCGGGGAGGGGGGCTGAAACCACCCCTGCCTGGTACCTTCTGCACGGCCCCAGCAGCAGCTGGAAACGCAGCTCGGCCGTCCCGCTGTGGCAGCGCCAGCAGGAATGGCTCAACGGGCGCTGGGGGTGGCAGGAGCGGCCGGGGGGGGTGTGTGTCCGTGTGTCCGTGTCCCCGTCCCCCAGCCGGGGCAGGGGGCAAAGGCGTTTGCAAACAAGAAGCGAAAGCGCTTCGCTCTGCTGCCTGCTGGCGGAAGGAGGGTCGGGGAGGGCGCGCGGGGGTGCCAGCCAGGGCAGCGCCCCGCCAGCCCCAAGGCCTGGGGGTGCTCCCATCAGGCCACAGCTGGCAGCTCTCCGTTTCCCTTTCTCCCCTGAGCTCTCTTCTCTGCTTTGCTCCTTCCTCTCCTCCTCCTCCTCGTCCCCTGCTTTCTCTTTTCTTCTCTCCTGTCTCTCACTCTGTGCCACCTTGCAACTGGAAACCGTCTGTACTTCCCCATTATGAACAAGTTCCTCAGCACCTTCCTGCCCTTCCTGAAAGGCAGTTGCAACACAAGCCCCGACGAACGCGAGGCTTTTGCAAGACCAATTCCTGTCACTCACATGCAGAAACTCCAGCGAACCCGGGGAGCTTCGCCCCCTCTGGCAGCGCTACCCAGCGGGGCCTGAGCGCAGACCCCTGCTCTCTCCGGAGCAAGCAGGAGGGAGGCTGGGTCCAGCTCCTCGCACGGAGTTTGTCCTGGAGATGGTCCCAGGTTTGGTCCTGGAGAACCTGAACCCCCCGGGGCCCCTCGGTGGCTTCCTCTGCTCCAGTGCAGAGGGCAGGATGGGACACCGCAGTGCCAGTCGTCCCCCTCTCCTGTCCCCTCTTGCCACCGCCGGCTCCAGGGCTGGGGGTAGCACAGGTGAACCAATAAACCCCCCAAACCCAACAGGAACGGAGCCACAACCTGGCCCTGAGATGCCGTGATCCGTAAGAAGAGACCGCTTGTGCCCTGACCTAGAACAGCCCTGCCAGCCTCCACCTTGGCCACTTCTCCCTGCTCCTGCTGAGGCTGGCAGGTCCCGCTGGCCACTGGGCTCGGGGCAAGGAGGATGTGGTGGCGTCACAGCGGAGCAAGCCACAGTGCCGCAGGAGCCGGGCCAAGCCTGCCGGTGGCCCCGCAGATCCCCACGTGCAGTCCAAGGAAGCCAAACCGTGGGATAAGCCCCAAGAGAGCCTGTCCAGCCCGGAGGAGCTGTGGGCCTGTGGGATTCGTGGCCCCGTGGGTGGGATTCACAGCAGGAGCCCAACTCGCCCATCACGGGATGCAACAAGACAGGCCGGCGGAACGGAGATAAAGGCGAGCGGCCGCTTATCAGAGGATGCCACCCATCTAAGCCGAGGGCTGTGCTGCCACCCTGCTTTCCTTTTCGGAGGAACTCGCCCGTCACCCTCGCTGCCCGGGCGACAGCTCCATCTGCCGACACGCGGGGAGCTGGTGTGGGGGACGAGCCCCGGCCCTGGGGTGACAGCCAGCTCTGGGGGGGCTGTGAACCGCTGCAGGCAGCTCCCCTCCATCAGCAGGGAGAGGAAGCCGTGCCGGGTGGTGGCACCAGGCATCGCCGTGCCCCCCCCCTTCCACCCCAGGACACATCCTCTGAGGGGACAAACGCTGCTTTGCTGGGCCTGGGCACGTGCAGTGGGGGCTCCCCAGCACCGCTCGAGCCCCACAGCATCGGGCAGAGGGCAACAAGGGCGAGCTGCCGCCTTGCCCACTGCGGCACAGAGCTAGAGATGCTGCAGCCTGGCAGCAGCCCCCAGCCCAAGCAGGATGGGGGGACAGGACAGGTGCCCCTCATCCCACGCCCAAACAAGCCGCCCAGCAGCACCAGGGCAGGGGATGCACAGGCTGCTCCAGTGCCAGCGGGTGCACGAGGGCTCCAGTGACAGCATGAGTGATACCGTCGGCTTTGGGGGCGCAGGCTGCTCCTCCAGGGCAGCCCTGGCAAAGCCACCACCCCCCAGCAGCTTCACAGAGCAGCCCTGGACGTGCAGACAGACAGGACGGGTTCTGCACAACCACACCAGCACCTCCTGCCTCAGGAGTGGGTGATGGACTGCCCCGGCGGGTGACACAGTGGAGGAGGGCAACCCGAAGTGTTGCCTCATGGCCCACGGCACACGGGGTCAAAATGCCACCACCGAGACTCGGCTCCTGGTGCTCCAAAGCATGAACTTGGGAAAAACCCACCCAAATTACTGGCAGAGAAAAGCCAGAGGTTCAGAGGCAGGCTGCTCACCTCCCTGACACGATCCCCTGGCTCTGATGGGTCAGAGTTAGTCCAGAGCTCCCTGCCTGCAGGCTCTGCGACAGGCAATGACACGTAGCCATCGCCGGCGGGCTCAGAGCCCAGCCCAGGGAATGGCCACCCTGCCCAGCTCGCAGCCAGAACACGGCGCTTTAGCTCCCACGAGCTGACAGCGGGACTAAGGCTGCTGCTGACACGCTGCAACCCCGGCTCAGCGGCTTGCTGCAGTGCTGCAGCCTGCAGAGGCACAACGGGGCTGCTCAGGGTGCAGCGCTGGGGGAGGAGATGCAAGGGCTGGGAGTTCTTGCAAAAAAATTTAAAAAAATCAAAACCCCCGACAAGGTAAAGGTGAAAGAGAGGAAGCTGCAGGAGAACTGCCAAGGAGCGGCTGCTGAGCTCCCATTATCCCTGTATCACCAGAGATGCTTCCCAGCAAGAGGGGAACCCCATGATCCCCAAAAGCCCCTTTCCTGGGGAATCTTGCAGCCACACAACTGCTGGAAAGAGGCTTTTCCAGGTCTGAAACGAGCCAGCGAGGGGATGGGCTCAGTGAATTGCTGGAAGTGGACGATAAACAGCCGGGATGGAGCAGGAACCTCAGCTCTGTAACTGTCCGAGCAGAGCCCCCGCCCAGCACTCATCCTGCTGGGACACGCGTGGCGGGTCTGGGCAGAGCCCAAGCACAGCACCCACCCTGCCCTGGATCCCGGTATCCCTTTATCCCATCCCTTCAGCCCACACCAGCTTCCCGGCCCGGGTAAGAGCACACACCTCTGACAGTTCCCCCTGAGCGTCTCGGCTTTGCACAGCCATCACCTTCCTGGGGTGGCACCACCCAGGGAGCCCCGGGGACCCTTCCCCATTTGGGAATGGGGACTGCAGGGCTCGGACTGGGAATCAGCTGGACGAGAGGCATCCTCGAGGGGAAAAGGGCAGAGCGGTGCGGGAAGCCCAGAGAACCCGCAGTGCCGAGCGTGCCGGGGGCACCCAGGGAGTTTCAGAGCTGCGTGCCCTGCCCTGCCCGGCGGCGGCCGCGCTCAGGGCACAGAGCGGCATCCAGCTGACGGAGCCAGAATTCCCAGCTGGATCCTGACCGGTGAGTTCCTGAGCCCAGCAGGCCCCTTGCAGAGAACCAGACCCCCAGCCCTGCTCCGTGCAGCAAGTCCTGGAGCTATCACAACATCTGCTGCTGGCAGCTGTTCCCCACTTGTGAGACCAGCAGATTCCCTGGCACAAAAAAAGGCGATTTCAGCTCAGAAACGGGCCTCCATGGGCAAGGAGAAGGGGGCAGCAAACCCGACCCACGGGGACGCTAATGGGGCAGTTTTCAAATGTCAGCTCCAAGCGAAAACCAGAAAATAGGAAAGGAAAGCATTCCTCCCCACTTGGTTTTGGCAAATCATGAATTCTGGCGACCAGGTTTCCCCGTTCCACCTGGTGGAACTTCTTCACTCCCAGCTGTGTCACAAGCGAGTGACAATCAAAAGTGTGACCCCCCCGCCAGCCGGGAGCCGCCTGCCAGCACGCAGCACTGCACAGAGAGAAGAAAGAAAAGTTTCTGTACCTCGGGACTTACTGTGTGTTTCTTAGTCATTCTCCAGAGGATGCACGTCAGGAGCATGTGGCCCAGAGCCGACGTGATAAAGACGATGAAGGCATTTTCGTGGATTGCTGAATCAACGAGACAACAGGTTTCCTGTTACAGGCGAGCCAAGAGCACGAGGGGCACGCAGGGCTTCGGGGATTGCTTTCTGCGGGACGGGGTGGGGACCCAGCATCTCTTTGTGGGAGCCAGACCCCGCTCCCCCGGCAGAGGAGGGGAAGGGGCATTGAAACAAAGCTGCTCATGTGTGTCTCAGGGCCCCCTGTAAACCCAGGGCTGGAGGGGGGATGCAGCCTCCTGGAAGATTTATCCCAAAGGTGCCAGGAGGGTGATTATGTGCTCTGGCACCCAGACTGAGAGTCTCCACTGCCCCACACGGCTCTGAACCTCGGGCACCCCTGAGAGCAGCTCAGCATCGCCGCTGTTCTCCTAGGGATGGGGAAACTGAGGCACAGCACGGGGTGTTGCAGAGTGAGCCACTCTGAGATGCGGGAAGGGCCATTTTCTGGCCTCCTGCATTATCTACCTGCCAATTAACAGCTGCCATCAGGTTCCTCATCAGCACCGAGGCCACCTCTGCATCCCTGAACCAGCACAGATGGAGGGTCAGGCTGGAAATGCAGCGGGAGCAGCACAGCCCACGGAACCCCAGGGCCACACACCAAGCCCACGCGACTGCAGGCGAGTTATTTTCAGAGGAGCACTTCGACTGAAAAAAGTTTCCCAGCCTCTTCTGCAAGAACTGAACCACAGGCTGAATCCCCAACCACACCACCTGAATGTAAGGAACGACTTTCCCTGCTTCCCCCTCAATTCCAGGGGAAGGGAAACCGCGTGAGGAGCGATGGCAAAGGCAGCACCTCTCAGAGGTGAAGGTGCGAGCCATGTCCTGCTGAGGTGATTAACCTGAGCCTGTTCTCATCTCAGCACAGCAGCTGAGGATTGAAACTTTCCCCACAAGCCTGAGATTAGCCTGTAACAAGGATCTAAGAAAACTGGGTTAGCCTCAGTTCTCTGTGTGGCTTTTACCAGCCACTCGGCCTCCTCCTCGCAAAGCTCTGCCGGGCAGTGCCGTCGACCACAAAATGAGGTGCAGGCAGAGCCATTTGGGTGACAGTGGGCTTCGAGGTACCCAAACCTCAAAAGAGCATCTGAATTTCTAAGGCCACGCTCCCTGAGGGGTTGGAGAAACCCCATGGGCAGGTCTGTCTGCAGTCCTGGGCCACAGTGGGGCGGCGGGGGACACTGGCCTTGCCATGGGGGACAGGGAGGGCTGGCAGGAGATGAGGAAGGTGAGCTGGGACAGGCAGGTCCCCATGACCATCAGCTGGAGGTACATGTCCAGCCATCCCAGGTCACTGGGCTCCACTACGGATCTCCAAACGCACCCTAAAGATTAGGGGAGGTCCCTGGCCTCTCCCTGTGACACAGAGCCCTGAAACCAGAAGTATACTGGTGAGGGTTTACTGGTGAAGATGCAGCAGAAGCCAGTGAACACCCGAACGGTGGGAAGCTTTGTCAGACCAACAGCACCAACAGCTGGTGTGCCAGTGACACCCACTGCTCTGGGCACGGCTCCTGAGC